TAGCTCGTAACAATTTAATTAAAGTCTTCGCATTTTCATTAATAAAAGAGATAACACTGGACAAAAATAAATGGAAGCCAAACGCCATTATAAAAAAAAAGTAATTCAAATGTATGAAAAGAAACCACCGTTTCCCGCCAAACCACCCGGCAACCGCATTCGTAAATCGAATCCGCAGCGCAACAAGACGTTCCGTTCCACGGTCAACGCACGCCTACGTTCCGTTCCACGCAGTGAACGCTTGTCTCACCTTTGACAAGGTGACATGTGCGCACGACGTGCGTGTGAGGGTGATCGATGGCCACATCGAACCCTAATGTCTGTAGGAGTACATTCTCGTTGAAAACTAGGTCCTGCGCCTGTAACAATAAAATAACGTATATTAATTAACATATAAAGAGAGGATCAACGAACTGTGCATGGAGCGGAAATGCGAATGTTCAGATGGATGTATGGAGTGACGAGAAAGGATAAGACAAGGAATGAGTACATCAGGGGAAGTTTGAAAGTCGCGCCAGTGACGGACAGATGACGAGTAATAGGTTAGCATGGTATGGACATGTCATGCTGAGGGAAGAATGTCATGTGACGAGAAGACTGTTAGGTATGAATGAGGAGGGATATAAGGGAAAAGGAAGGCCAAAGAAAAGATGGATGGATTGTATGAAAGCTGACATGGAAAGGTGTGAGTATGGAAATGACGGCTGGAATATATTTTGTGCCGACCCCAATATAGTCGTTGATTGGGATTTTTTACGCGCCTGATGGTGAGCCATAGGCCTGTCCATAACAGTTGCTGTGCTTTAAATCGTAATGATGAGGGCCACTTCCACTGCGTTAGTCACCCTGAGACAAAAGTTGACAAGTCCCATGTGCCTGTTATTTCACTTCAAAACCGGAACGCAGTAATAGTTACATTACTGCTTGGCAATACTTCCCTGGACGAACTCTATGACAAGGAGTTCTACTGCTATTAAAATTTACTACTTCTTATAATTATTTATTTAAAGATCGAACATAAAAAAAAATTGCTTCGAGTTGACTGGACCCGAATCTATGCCAACTAAGCAGCGTCTGGCACGGCGTGCTAGAAGACGTCGGTTCGAATTCGACCGGATCAAATAATTTTTTTCTGAGTGTTCGATCCTTGTATTAATAATTATAACAAACTAGTGGAGTGATTTCACATAACTATAATTGAATATCAATTCAATGAAAACTCGAATCTACGCGTTTGAGTCTTACCTACGAAAGTGCAAGGAATAGCTTATTTTGCAACAGAAGTCGTCATGTTCCTGGTTGATTGTGGAATAGTAATCCGTATAGATGTCTGGTAACAGTCATTTGTACCCTTTGTCATCCTGGGGGTCGATTCAGACCCTTACGATAACTCAGTTGTCGTACGATTTATTTTTATTTTTATTCACAACACCCGAGTCGAACGACAAACTGTCCTATTCGAAACCTAACCGAAATGACGTCACACCCGTACGATTACTCGAGGTTCTCGACCGGCAAAGACTACGAACGTTATTCAGAACGCAGTCATCTAATGAAAGATACCGACCGTCCTATTGTTTACAAAGCAAGATTGTAATATGGAAATCTCTTATTATTTTAAATGAAATTTGGATTTTGTTCAATTTTATTAATTTATTTTAATGTAACACTAATGCATTCCTATATTTTAACCCATTAAAGTCTTAAAAATGTATATAAGAGGATTTTCATTTTTCTTATAATCTATCTCACCGACTAACTCCGTAAACGCTGGTGGATAACCAGTAAATAAATAGTTAGATTAACGATGTTTGTTTTGTTGTAGACCTTTTGTTCAATATTTACGTTCCGACAGAGGACACAGGCGGAGACTGAAAAACAGCACTATGCTGAGACTTTGTCCTTTTCATCACTCATAGCACACAATTTATTAATACTTAATACCGAGTGATTTTGTATGTTTATGTGTGAGTGTGTTTGATGAATAAAGTCCTATTTAATTTAATGTTACACATCTTTGTTTTTTGTTTTAATGAATTGTTTGCTGCTGCGATTCACTCCTATCAATTCGAAGAAATTTAAAAAGAAATCTTAGCGTTCTTTCTTTGTATTGTAACAATAACAAAAGTAATTTCATTAATAATTGAATATCATGATAGAAAAACATTATATTATTCTTATTCTATACAATCAATATCATTATGTAAAATTAATTTTAATATCTCTTAGTAAAGTGTGACTTATCGTAGGAGATAGTGCAACACCGCGTATGTAGCGTTAGTAAAAGGCGCGTATCTGAATTAAACCAAATATAAAGTTATTACTTTGTGATTTCAAAGGCTACGACTCTCATTTTTGCACAGTAAGCATTAATTTATGTTGTCTATGGACTGATAACAATAGATTCCCGTAAATCACGCTAATTTGGTTGCCACGACACTTACGCGGATTTGATTCGGCCGCTAAATTACCAAAATGGAAACTCATAATCAAATGCTAGTTAGGCGTAATTGCACTATCCCCGACATTATGCAATTGAATGTTCACTAATCATTATGCATGTTTACAATATAAATATCATCAGATTTACAGCTTATTTTCCTCTTGTAAGTTAAATAACTTTAATAAACGAGTCACGTTTTGAGCAATTTGAATTGTACTGATAAATACGACAGCGTCACAATGTCTATGTAATTTCTTGTTATTCTTGGTCTATTATTGTCTGCATGCAAAATCTAGACTCAATTATATTTCTAAGCTTATTGTTTTTTTAAATTAAGTTAAATAAAATATTAATTTATTTTTATTATTCCCACACACTGAGAATGGCAACGTCACTAAACAAAAAACTATTTTTTTATTATTTTTAACGTCATTTTGAATTTGAGAGTACGACCTTTATAATGGAAAAACCCCCGTGTTCGTTGCTTGCCTAGAATTTGCTATATGATGTAATGACGTTATGCTGTTTAAGGGGAACGGGGCATACGAGACAGCGCGATACTGACATTTTTTTTGGTAGTGACAAAGATCTCGGAGTTGTGAAACAATTGACTACTAACTCCGTTCACATTTATTACTTACTACAATTCTTCAAGATTACGTCATTTTTTGGAGAGTCGTTTTGCATTAACACTAATATAGTACAGGATTGCTGAGCCAGATCTACGCTAGTTAGTGGATAAGTTATAGAACATAAAATTAAATTTCATTGCATAATTTGTTTTTATGAGTCCTTTGTGACGCTATTGCATAATAAGAAATGTTAATTTACATGAAAAGATTACGAGGAATAGTGATACTAAACGAAATTCTCAAAAATACCTTTGTTTTATAGAAGTAGGTGAACATTTTTATAATATTTCTAAAACCATGTAAGGTAGGAAAACCGCATTCAAAATCTTCGTTGAGTAATAAATTGCAATTTTTTATCACAATTTCCAGAACTTCAATAGTTCACTAATCAAAATAAAAAATTTAGTGTTGTGTCACTGTCATTCTCAGAGTGCGAGTGGTCGTTTGCATTTGAAAATCGAACGAGTTTTTTTCCTCGAATTTACTCTGTGGTCACTTTCACATGAAAATCGAAGAAATCTGTTATAATTATTACTCTGTGATGGGTGACTAGCTTTCGAAAATCGAATACAATGATTAATAACATACCTGTTCTTGGTACTGTTCAGGCGAGAGTGCGTTGACCCCCTCACCTCTGTGGAGGCAGACGTGGGCAACCTTTATCACATACTCCAACTTGCGCGGCTGCTCCTCCACCTGGAAACATCACAATTCAATTTTGGTAACTAAAGAAGACAACAAATGTATACATAGTTAATGAAACTATTTTTCCGGATTTAATTCGCGTATTTGTTTTTTCAAACGAACCGACGTATCGGGCCCTTTACAGGTTCCATGGTCAAGGTTGACCGAGGTGGTACCACCTTTTGACTGAAGTGTTAGAGAAAACAAATATACGCGATTTAAATCCGGAAAAATAGTTTCATTTCCTATGTGTAACGATCGCGAAAACCTAAGAACTTAAAACAAATTCACGAAAAAAAAAACTTTGTGCCAGATTTTTCTGAGGTTACCAAATCTGTCCTCCTTGTCATTACTAACCCATTCGCATTTCGGTAACTTTTCAGATATTAGCACCTGAAGTTGTATTATTACCTAAAAAAAATTTAATTACGCTGATTTTGCTTAAGAGCCGATTTTACCTCAGATCGAATTCATTTTTTCATTTTGCTAGGGTCGAGCGGCAGGAACACTTGGTTTATTTCAAAATTGTTTTTTTTTTACAAACAAAGTTAAAGCCATTTGAAAAATGTATATCGTATAGTAAATGTGTTCTATTTAGTTAAATTGATATTTAAAAAATCATTGGTATATGTAAAGTAACTATTGCGTACGAGCGGTTGTCTTGTAATATGTATTTTTTTTGTACCGTGAACATTTTCAGGAATCGTGTTTTCACACCGTACATTACCAGTCAGTACATTATCAGTGCATTACCTATATTTTACTGTATAATTTTTCAAAGTGATTTGTTCAACACTTTCTCTGTTATGCGGAATCAACCAAAGCCATTTGAGGTTGTATAGACTCTTAACAGATTTTGAAAAAAATGGTATACACTCATCAAGATAAAATGTAATTTTCACTAATTTTTTTTTTTCATGCCTTTCGATCCAGGATAATATAATAATATATACTCCCGGACATATAATTCGAGCCATGATCCATAATTTATCAAAAACTGTTAGGCAACTTCGAAACTGGTATACTAAACGTCATTTGCTAAGTCCTTGTTGAAAATTTGAATTTAAAAAACCGGAGAAAACTTTTTCTTCGACGATAACTATGATGTTTTTATTTAAGGCTAAAAACGCAAGGTGGCTCGAATTGTGTCCGAGAGTGTATATTTATTTATTTCCCCCCACAAACATAACGTTGTACATGTGCAAAATTAGAAGCATATAATAAAATCTACTCCACATTATGTTTGTAAGATACTGCTACCTAAACGAATCGTAAGCTTGTAATATAAGATGCCAGTCTCTCACCACGGATAACAAGACTAACAATATGTTGGAGAAACTACAATCAGGATAAAAAGTATCCATGGGACCAACTGACATTTTTTTTTCCAGCTTTTCTTACGATTCGCTATGACAGTTAAGGTAGCTGCCCTTGCTAAACGGTCTCCAATTTCCACCTTGTATTTAGCTAAACTTCAAGAAAGTATTACACTGGTAGTATGGTGTACACACTGAGTATATAACTAGAAATAGAGACGAAATAAGGGCCATCCATCCATGGCAACTCATCAGGCAAATGGGCCTTATATCACTTTTAAATATGAACTCTCGTTTGCACTGAAATCACAAATTTGAAAGCTGAAATAGTACAGCGCCAACAACTGTGTGTACGTCTCCGTATATTCCAAAAGTATTATGTATTTACTGCAACAAACATTTCTAACAATGGGGGGCTGTTCCATTCGGTGGTGTGGGAAAAACAGCAAAACATCTAATTACAAAACTAACGGCATCACGTTTCATCGGTAATTACATATTAAATATGTAGTTTTTCAATTTTCGCCCATTATAGCAAAGCTCAAGTTAAACTGGTCAAGTTTAAGTGAAACAATTGACGACACCCGACACACACGCAAAATAGGCGCCTTGGGTCGAGTTGCGAACACCAGCCCGTTACACCAAGTACCAAGTAATTGTTTCGAGTTCGGGCTGGCCAATCGGAGCGCAGATGTCACAGTAATGATATGGCAGAATAGTTTAAAACAAATTAAATGACATTTCGTCTCTATTTCTGGTTATATACTCGATGGGTGCAGATTACTATCGAAGTAATAGTTGATGATATTGTAATTGTGAAAGCTTGTTGATGCCAGGACCAATAACCAAGAGAACTGCTAACCTCATACTACAAGATCGTAACTCGAAAAAAGGTCAAAATCCCATCTTAAATCTAAATGACGCTGATAGATAGCTTGGAAGTTGTTTATATTACGTAAATGACAGAGGACATAAATTAATTCCTCTTTATTATGGACAAATAAGTGGTCTTTTCTATTTCCTCGTAATATTATTCAAATAATTTTTGAGCACGAGCCTAAAACTATTTTCTGAACAGTAACAATAGATGGCATTGTGTTGCAAACTAATTTAAAAATTAACGCTTCCTATCATGGATAGATGTCGCTAATCCTATACTAAATAAAAGAATAACCGGCAGTATTCATAAAAATGTATGCAATAACCGCCATCTAGTTGATTTGTTTGTTATCACTCGAAATTAGAGTAGCTTTGACAGACTGCAATCGTCAATGTAAAACAAATTAATTACAAAAATAACTATTTGGTACCAGTCTGTACTAAATAGATTCCTCTAATGAACACTACGGCAAGCAAATTTGGACCTGTCTTCTTCTTATTTTGTTCGACAAAATTCGTTTTTGGATATGCCTCTCTCTGTTACACCAAGGATGCTATTTTGCACGACGTGTTTGTCAAACTCCTTTTTCAAGTCGGTTAGTAAATAGAAGGAATTTTTCTGAGTGTTCGATCTTTGTATTAATAATTACAACAAACTGGTGGAGTAATTTCACATAAAAATAATTGAATATCAAAATAAATAAAAAATTAGATTTTTTGTTTTTTTTTTTCTCGAATTTTGTTTTTTAGTTATTTATTTTGTTTCACAAAATTCCGGGAGCATAATATTAGTAAATAAATATTTCTGTTTACAAAAATATCAGAAAATGACCAAAAAAAGTTAACGCAGTGTAATAATACAATAAAATAATAACAACGCACACACTCAACATGGCCCCGCACTAGGGAAACCCTGTGACGCGGGTGCCATGGACACACACATAGACAACCACAATATACACCCAAACTCACGAGAGAAATAAATGTAGGCCGTACAAATATTTCTGCCGGCCCGGGAATCGAACCTGGGCCCTCTGCGTGGCAGTCCGGCATGGTAACCGTTCGGCCACGGAGGCAGTGTTCATTGGAGGTATCGAAATACCCGACTGCGCTTTCTTGTATTGCGATTAACAGTCCTGTTGTCATTGGTCCATGTTGATACGTACCTTTGCAGCAAGGAAGAGTGCGGCCGCGGCAATGGCATTCCGATGGAACTGTGTAAAGGAGTGGAACGCGTAGAACCGGTGCATGTACACTATCGCCGTATTTATACATAATTGAGAGCTGTTGTATTGAGTTAAGGTTCTATTTGGATTCATTTTAAATAAATATGTATAATAATTTGATAATAATAAAAGTGCCGTACTTCACAAACGCAACAAAAAACAAATCTGAAATTGAGAAATTAGCAACAGTTATTTAGATTTTTGTTTCGTCCGTAAAGGAGATTCGGCGAATAGGAATAACTATTCCTATTATTAGTATACTCTGTAATTGGGCCATAGCATCTTTAAGATGCTTTAAGCATCTGCAGCATCGCGCGTAAAACCAAGATGAGATTGGTGGGCTCTTTGATGTTTTCCATTTTCAACTATGGGGCGGAAACGTGGACACTAAAAATGGCGGAACGAAATGCGGTCACATTGACGCCTTCAAGATTCACATCTTGCTAGAGGAAAATGTTGCGAATCCATTGGATGGATTTTCTCACCAACGACTCAGTTCTGTTGAAGCTTAACGTCCAAACCAGGCTATCCACCTTGTCTCCGTAGGATACTATAGATAGATTTCCTAGCTGTTGCCTGCGACATCGTCTGCGTAGTATAAGTACTACTTTTCCTCCCCTATTTAACTCCATTTCTAGACTTACTTTTCTGACAAACAGTAGCATATGTCCTTCTAATAGGTCCCATCTATCTCTATGCCAAAATTTATTAAAATTGATTCAGCGGTTTAGGCGTGAAAACGTAACAAATAGACGAGTTACTTACGTATTTATAATATTAGTTTGGATAAGCCTCTATGTTTCACTAAGGATGCGATTTTGTACGACGTGTTTTTCAAACCTCCGTTTTGAAGTCGGTTAGTAAACAAAATTAAAAGTCGCATGCAAAAGAGGAAAATGCCAAATGACTGAATCATGTAAACTAAACATGTCTCCGTCAACCGTTACCGCGAAACATGACTCATACAGCTCATAATAATCGTACAATTCTTTATGGCCTATACAACATCTGTTCTTAGGAAACACAATTCGAAACAATGCTATTGATGGATTAAATTACTACGTATTGATTTTGACCTATGAAACGTGTTATGCTCGGAGTTTTTCTGCGGGATAAAAGAGTCACTCTCGAAGTCCATCAACGAAAACACATTCTTTCGAAACTTTGTCGAAGCGTTGTCATACATTCTTAGTTCGGTATATTCCACGAGTCCCTACAAGCTTGTCCCCCTGTTGGGGACTATTCTATTTACGATCGAAACTCGAGTCTGTAGGTCATCCGTTGTGGGAAAGGCTAATTACGGCCGCGTAATTACGAATTCCGTGCTTCGAGAGTTGCTGGGGCCCGTCCATATAAGGTAACGCTCAAAACTCAATTTTAAAAATGTGGGTATTCAAAAAAGTATATATTAGCGTAGTCGTAGTATCACATCACGCGTAAAAATACTGACTGTCAGTTTTGAAGTGCTTTTTGCCCTAAATAGTAATTATTCCGTTACGTACGTGAGTTTATGTGCATTCTTTAGAGATTTATTCCTTAAGTTTAATATTAAGATCGATTTAAATGCATTATGTCAGTGACCAAGCAAGGTATGTCGAGTCTCCGAAGGTTTTTATTATTTTGCAACTATATCGATACCTGATATACCACTGTAGTGATTTGTAGTAAAATGAGGTCGAAATGAGGTTATCCAACAAAGAACCAAGGTAGTCCACATAGCTTGTAGAATAAGCGATTTAGTACACATCCGTCAGATCATTTCTTTATTCCGTATAGGTCAGAAATTTGTTGCTGGTAACGAAACAAAAATTATCGTGATTCCTTGTCCGTCAGATTCCGTTTTCGTCAGAAAGTTTATTTACGAACACTTTTGTCAAATTCCGCTTTTCTCATAATTTGTCAGTTCTTTTTTTCTGAGTCAGAATGGCGGGTGTATCTTAACGAATCCTGACTAAATTGTATCAAAACTTAGTACCTTTTTTGTACTATTTAGTACCTACGTTTAAAAAATTTGTAAAAGAAATGATCTGACGAAAGAGGAATCTGACGGATGTGTACTAAATCCAAACGACGAAAGCGGAATTTGACGAAAATGTCGTTATTGGTTGTCCACATTCGTCATTCCTGACGAACCTGAACTGAAATCATGAAAAAAACTATTTCTGACGAAACTGGAATATGACGGATGTGTACTAAACCGAATAAGCAAGCTGAAGTAGCATCAGGTTTACCATATCGAAGAACCGGTAAACGAGTTTTTGAGTGGAGACCACGGCTCGGCAAGGATAGCGTAAGACGTCGATTTGAGTGACGATCTGCGAAAGGCTAAGGCAGCGGATGGATGCGACAAGCAGAGGCCCGGGCACAAAGGCGCAAATTGAGAGAGGCCTATGTCCAGCAATGGACTGCGATAGGCTGATGATGATGAAATCTTTGAATAAAATTATGTAACACAATATGTACAATAAATAGTATTTCCAATTACAAAAGTTAGTGAGTGATAAGTCGTTCAAAGTGAGCTTGGTGAAATTGCAGGCACATGGGACTTGTCAACTTACTGCTCAGGCCCAAAGATCTGACTTTGCGGTTCAAAGCTCTGAGTGACAGTGTTATTTTTTTAAACATCATTCAAACACAACCCTATATTCATTCAGTAATTCTACTCATAGAGGAGAGCCTAGACTACAGCATTGTAAAAAAAGAAGAAAATGAAGAATGTCGGAAGGCAGCAAAGATGTTAAATATTCACTGTGTAGATGAAACCGGTTTGGAGTACTTAAGGTAAAAAGTTAAACTTTATGAATGGTTTTGAGATAATAATAAAGACGTTTTCCTGTAGTTATCATAGAGATTGACTATCTGTATCCATTGTGACTTGGTGCATATGACTGCTCGCCCCACACAATAAAGTTTCTTTTTAAGTCATCTTGTATTAGTGATTTCAATTGGTAATTTTTGTTTTGCAAGTCGCTTCTGACGCATTCCAAAATGATCTTTAAAAATGATAACATTAGTTCCAATACAGAATATCTGAGCCCCACGTCTGTTAATTTTAAATATCTCAGATGCGTCGATAGTGTTAACAAGATTTTGTACACACGCCAGCACGTCAAGCTACACATTGACGTATCTTGTTCCGTTGTACTAGAGGCGATTTTCGAACAAAAATGTGTTGTCTGATGTGCCGTTGTCTGTACTTTTAGTGGCACTGCAACTTTTTTTTTATAATATCAAATGACGGAACGAACATGTCGTGCGCCTGATGGTAAGCTATACGCCTGTCCCTAACAGTTACAGTGCCAATCAGAGCTTTAAATCGCAAAGATCTGAGATGCACTACCACTGCGCCGGTCACCCTGAGACGTAAGCCAAGTGCCTGTCATTTCACCAGCACCCTTGCCCTTCTAAGCCGGAACGCAGTCATGCTAACATTACTGGTTAGCGGCAGAAATAAGTAACGTGGCAATACTTCCCTAGACGAACTCTTTCACAAGGAGCTCTACCGCTGTAATAAATAGGAGTGTCGCTTGTCACGAGCTGCACGACTTGCTCGTTTCTTTACTTGATATCTTTAAAAAAATCAACCTATAGTCGCAGTCTGGTGGACACATCTCTGCCACTTGCATCTTGCGGCCATGGCCGTATATCCGGTTCTCCATCCGACATTCGTTCGAAACAATTACAGCCAAATACGTAATACTCGATAAAATTAAAAGACGCATGATGCGAATGAAGCTTCATATTTGACATTGTCTTTTAAATTCGTTCGAGTAAATATTACTTATTTGACAGTAATTGTTTCGGACGGAGAACGAGAGTAGACTCCTAGATAAGGTCAATTTGAACCTTAATCCTATACACTTTACGTCATGAGTTTGTTTGGTTTGGTTAGGTTAGTGAGGTTAGGTTAGATTTAAGTCGCAAAGATCTTAGGGGCACCGACCAGCATTCAGCACTCTTATCCTTCAAAATCGATGCAGTTATGTTCACATTACTGCTTAGCGGCAGAAATAGGTAAGACTGCACTTCCCTGGGCAAACTCCTTCACAAGGAGCTCTGCTGCTACTTGGTACAGTAGCCTCACTCCCCTCTAAAGTAAGAAAAAAACCAACAAGGGTAAAATTGGATTAGAAGTTCAACTTATTCATCCCATTACGCTAGAGACGCTATTTTTTAATGATAACCATCATTAAAAAATAGCGTCTCTAGCGGTCATATGAAAAAGTACAATTTCGTATACAAACACTACGAGTGCACGAGAATTATAACGGTAAACCCTGGTACATGCCTGACACACACCGTAAGCTTAAACTTGACACTATGGATCTTACTTATTTTATTTGAGTGAGTGGGTGAGTGACCCACCCACACACCCATCCCTAACCCACCCATAACCCAATGTATGCATGTTACGCGATTACTCTGGCATTTGTGAACCGATTTTGATGATTCTTTTTTTGTTGGAAAGAGGGTATCTCAGTATTGGTCTCAATTAAATTTGAAGAAAATATTCCACCTATGAAGGTGGCTAACTAGGGGATCAATCCGGTTTCGCGCACTTTCCGGTGAAACGATTTCAATGAAACCTGGCAAATAGATGTAATTCCACAACTTTTGAGGTCGGTCTTTTACTATTCTGTAGAGATTATAATCTCAATATTATTGAAATATTAATATAGTAATCAGAATTTATTTCAGGATATAACGCTGGCTAAGCTAATCTTTAATACTTCAAGAATAATAAATCCATCATCAGCCTATCACTTTCCATTGCTGAACATAGGCCGCTTGCGCTTCGCCCGGTCTTCAGCTTGTCGCATCCATGTTTTTTTTCTTTTTTTATAAAATATAGGTGCGCTTTTGACCTCCATCTCACCTGATGGAAAGTGACGATGAGGTCGACGATGGAGCATGCACACCTAAATAACGCCTATTCACTATCGCCTTGAAAAGGTCCAAGTTATAACGTTCAGAGAACAAGTCTGCAGGCAGGGAATTCCACTCTATAGCCGTTCGCAATATAAATGTGGAAGCGTAACGCTTCGTGCGAATCTTTGG